CATGACTTTTCCTTCTATTTTTACTTAAATAGACACAATGCTTATATTGTCTCCATTTATTGATTTACATGCCTATTCAGAATTTACATTATTTTGTGCATACTTTATAGACTTAGGATACGTACTATCTGTCGGTGACTATTCGAATTGAGATTTTCTTTTATTCCTTCTAGAAAGCACCTATGCACAACACCATATCTAGACAGACCCTAAATATATAATTATCTACTGACTGAAATACTCTCAAATTAAATAGAAAGAAGCAGACCTCTGTGTGAGGAGGAACTCACCCCTCAGGGCTTCTTGACAGGGTTGGCTCATTAGATCTGCTGTTTCAGGAGGAGGCAAACACTGTCCATGTCTGTGGCCCTGGAACCTTGTCATTTAGAGTCAGCTCATCCTGCTAGACCATTTTCTGAATTGCCAGCAGGGAGGAGAAGCCATAAGTAGAAAATGAAAACTTTCAGAGACAGTTACCAAAAGGCATCCTCTTCAGAGGTGAATGCTGAATTTGGTGAGTGACAGAATCAGGAACAAGCAACGTCAAGTATTTCAGCAGTAATGGTGTTAGTCCTTTACAGATATAACACGGGGGGCTCGCCTTGCCCCCTCATCCAAATAAAAAGAGGAACCAATGGGAGTCAAGATAAAGAGAACTTAATGCTGATTTCACTTCAAATCAAATTTCAAGGGAACTACCTGGGAAAGCCTGGACAGGAGAAAACAGAGCCAGAATCAGTTCTAGATTCTAAAGCAAAACCAAACTTGGAGGCTCTCTCTCACTCACTCTCTTTTTTTTTCTAGTTTCTTCCAAGTTTCGAACTCCTTTAAAACCCCAATCCCCTACTTGGAAGTCAGAATTCACAATTCAAAGACAGAAATGGATTTTTCAAGTTCCTTTTGAAACCTCCTCTTCTCTTTCTTTCCTTGAGCCTTTTGAACTTTTCTCTCATTTATTAGTAGCAAGAGGAACGTCCCCCAAACAAGAAAATATGTGATGAAACCTTGTTATAACATCTTTCCTTTTAATGTTTTTCTACCTAGATCGTGCAGTTTGAAAAGTCCCAGCTGAAGGGTTAGAAAGCAATGTTGCTGCCGCATCAAATTTTCACCCACGAAATCTTCAGAGAACCTCCTATCAATAGAAAGGATTACAAAGAAATTTTCACCACGTCTTAAGTGGCCCATCTAGAGGCAAGAGAGACTTTCGTTAATTCTGAATCCATACTGCCTGCAGCTGCCTCCGTGTGCCTGGTGGCCAGTGAGTTCCCTGGAACGGCAGTGTGTCTGTCAGGCACAGGAATCTCTCTCACCACACGCAGCTGCATGCTAGGGGAAGGGGCTGCTGCTAAGGTGGCTACAGAAATTTGGGAGGAGCCCTATTTCCTGGTGACCCTGTGCCTCCTGACTTCACACCCCACATTTTGTTTGTTCTTTATAAAAATATTTTTTGTTGAGGTATAATTGACAATGGAATCTATATTTTTTTTTATGTTCATGTTTATTTTTTTTACTAACATATAACGTATTATTTGTTTCAGGGGTACAGGTCTGTTTTTAACCTTTTTAGGATTTGGGGATGTATAACATGAACAGGAATGTGGGTACAGGAAACAGGAAATGGTCAACTGGATTACTCTCTCTGCTTTTATATTATGGTTTCACACAAGACACACAGAGGTTAATCCTCTCAGCCTTGTTAAGAGATTAGACCAAGAGAACCGATAATTCTGTTTTATAAACACTAAGAAGGGATTGTTACCTGCCCAGCAGCCCAGAGACAGGAGTGTCAACCAGGAGTTCTTCGATGCCTGCTTCGGAAAACAAGGGCTGCAACAGTCTAGCTACCAGGAAACCTCAACTTAACAGAATGGAAAATCTTAGACAACAGAAGTTTTTCTTTGCATTTTAAGATCTCCTATCTCCTGGAAAATAGAAGTGCTATTGTGGGGGCGCCTGGGTGGCTCAGCAGGTTAAAGCCTCTGCCTTCACCTCAGGTCATGATCCCAGGGTCCTGGGATGGAGCCCCGCCAAGGGCTCTCTGCTCAGCGGGGAGCCTGCTTCCCTTCCTCTCTCTCTGCCTGCCTCTCTGCCTACTTGTGATCTCTCTCTGTCAAATAAATAAATAAAAATCTTAAAAAAAAAAAAGTGCTATTGTGAAACAGAATGCATGTACAGAGAAGTGTGCAAAACAAATGTACAGCAAAACAGATATTATAAAGCAAAGGTAGATGTGACCGCCACGAGGACCAGGAGCCAGAGCACGGCCATCATCTCATCTCTCAAAGCTAGGGAGTCCAGCGATGGACCTCTTTTCAAAGGCTGGGGCTAACATCCTCCTAAGCATCCCAACTTTGATTTTTTTCCATTCCTCTCTGCAGTTCATCTCCTAAAGAAGTTTGAAAAGTAACTACCTATATCAACACTCATTGAACTAGTGACCCATTTAATTTTAATAAAACAAATATTTAAAAGTTTGAAGCAGGGTAAAAATCAAAATAAAAACAACCAGAAATATGGTTTCTCATGCACTGAAAATATTGGCATACTCAGGTTGTGAGGGACTTTGCTTCCAGCAAGAATGCTGTGATGAACAACCCACATATGCTTTCATAAGAGACACGTGCTGAAACAAGTACTTGCAATTTCAGTAAAAACAGCATGAATTATTTCTGTCCAGGAAGGTTTTCACACCTTCAAAGGCTGTAATATACTAAAACCAAAAAATACAGAATATGGATGTTTTAAAACTTAGAATCTTAATATTCTGTCCTTCAACACTGGATACACAATCTCCTTAGAACTGATTTTGGAGGCAAATATCATCATAAGGACATAAATTCTAGAGAGAAAGTGAAGGAAAGGAAAGTTACTGTTGCTTTAGGGCAAAGCCATTTTATCTTTATCTCCTCCTTGCTGCCTAAATGGTGTCTTATTATTAGAAGCTGTTCTATAAATGTTGATTGAAGGGATTTTTATATGAATAATTTCAGAAAAAGAAAAAAGAATTATGCTTATTAGTTTTGATGTGTTTTTGTCACTTCTAAATTGTACTCAAAATGTGGAGAAAATAAAGCTTAGGATTTCAAAAGAAATTATTATACACAATGCATGACTCAGGAATACAAGGAAGCTTATTAGGAAAACATGTTTGTTTCCAGTCTTCTTTTTTACTTTTGTTTCCTCCAGGAGGTATGGAATGCAGTTTGAAGGCAAGATTCACAAAGTTACAAGACAAGAGGAAAGCTCTTTCAGGGGGAAAAAAAAAAAAGCAATGGCTATTTCTTTGTTCCTGTTGTCTCCCCCATTTAGGCGATCAAGGGCAAACACAAGGCTTGCCGGCAGAGCCTGACTTCTTGCATCACGCCACCTAGTGGCCCAGGCTGCGAAATTGTTTTTATTTTGCCAATGGCTGAAAAACTGGAAATTCCAGAGTTGTGAACAGATTTGACAGATCATTACTCATATTTATGACAGAGTATAAATGCCAACTGACAAGTCATTTGGATAGATTTCACTTCAAAATGTACGTATTAGGGGTATTAGTGATGGCTATATCTTTGCCGCTGCACAAAGTTTCCTGATTAGACCTAAGTGTCTGTTGAGGGAGCCCTGCTCACATCTGGCCACTCTGAAACAAGTATTTGTAATTTCAGCAAAAACAAAAGAAACCACTTCTGTCCAATAAAATCCTCCCACCTTCAAAGGCTGTAATACATTAAAACCAAAAATAAGTGTTTTACAACTTAGAAGCTTGATTACCACCCTGACCTCTAACGTAGGATGCACCATCTCTTTAGAACCAAGGTTTGAGGGTAAAGATCTTCATAAGGAGATAATGAATGAAATCCTGGCTCTGCCCAAGGGAGGTATGGAAAGAAAGGCAGAGGCAGCTTTCTCATGGGCTCCCTACTATTTTTGTTTAAAGGAGCATGTTTGAAGAAAGTTAAGAACTGGTTTCAACTTTCTTTCCAAGTAAAGATGATGCAAAGGTTGTGGACTGTGGCTTTTTTCTTAGCCAAGCTTTTCATTCCTCTGCTTGTTGCTAAAAATCAGAGCTGGCAGCCACTCCCTTTTAACATACAAAGGCCCCCAAACTAGACATGGTGCCAATGATTTCAAGAGGGACATGGGAAGAAAGAAAAGGAAATAATGAACAATGACAAAGAGGCTTCTCCTCCTACTTTCATAAAATACCCACAGCTGTTTCCAGACAGACCCTCAGAACATAACGTCCTTGAGAGGAAAGCTGTGAGAAGGCCTAGTGGGCTGCTCAGCCAAAGGCAGCAGATCCCAGGTAAATCAAAGGAACTTGACCAAATGGGAATCTATTTGGCAAAACAGCAAAGACAGGGAAGTTCTGTTCTTTGGCCCCAGTTTCCTGCTTCCCATCATAAGAACTGAATGAGAGGCTAAACAGAAGTCATTAAGCAGAAGGTGGCTGTGAGTGGCTAGGCATGCAGACCAGTGATGGACCTATTCTAGGTTGGTTAGGAGAGTGGGGGGGTGGGGTCACTGACTGGGGAGTGAGTTGGGCCAGGTGACCTCTGAGAGCCCACAACTGGGTGACCTTTGGATTCCCCACATTCCCTTTACCCAGAATCATACATGAACAGAAATAATCTTTCCCAAAATTCTAGGTCAACTGAGACCACCCTAGAGTGCTTAGCATGAATGAATGATAACATGTGGTTTTATAAATGGAAGAATGAAAAGAGGCAAGCAGAGAAAATGAGAAGTCTAAGAGTTAACATTAAAAAAAGTGTGTGTGTGTGTGTGTGTGTGTGTATACATAGAACATATACACTGATGCTGTGCGATTACACTGCAAAAGAAACAATCACTTTCCTTTTCTTGAAGTTAGTTAAATGGACCTTTACCCCTGCTTAAAGTTCCAAACGGTAGTAGTGCAGCCCTGGCCGAATTTCAACACGGACAAGGAAACGCCAGCAGTGCCTATGGAAGCGTTAGGCCCAGGGAGGTCAGGGGGCTCCATGTACCTGTTTTGGTCAAAGGAATCGAGAAGAGTTGCTGCAGAAGCTGGTTTTCTGACGTTCTCAGGACCACAACCACATCAGTGGGGAGCGTGTCTCTGTTTTTCTCCAGAACCCCAGAAGCATCATACAATACCTGCAACAGAAACGGCAAATAGCAAACTAGCCAGTGTCGTTCACTGTCAGCGACACCGGCAAGCTGTCTGAGGTCAGTCACTCATTGACCCGACCCATATAGAGACTTTATCTTGACTTTATCATGACACAGCCATGCTTCTAAATCCAGACCATGAGATAAGGAGGAAAAAACTGTAATTTCTGACAAGCCAATTTATCTTAACTACTCATTCAGGTGTGCTTTGAAGAAAAGAGGCATAACAAAGATAAATCATGTGAGAATAACTGTGAAAACAGATTGGGCACTTTGTGCATAAAGCACCTATCTCCATTTTACTGGTGGGCAGAGACTCAGCAAGAAACTGAATGACAGACTGTGGTCACACATCTCACAAGTGGCAGGCTGGCTTCCAAACCCAGGCAGTCTGGGCTCCCTGCTCATAATCACCAGACTGTCGTAGCTCCCCAAGGTACTCACTGCACGTGAGTGCTCAGGGATGCGGAGCCATTTTCAGCTCTTACAACAGAAGGGATCCAGGTCACAGAAATTTTAAGGAACACTCCAGAGAAATAATGAATTCAGTAAAGGACACTAAGCCCAGAAAGAAAACAATCCTTTCCCCCACCCCTTAAAATCAAGAAAGAAGAGAGAGAACTGGAAGATGAGTGAATAGGAAATTGGAGTAAAAGGACACAGAGACAGATGGGCAGGTGCAAGGAAGAGGACAGGAATGGGGGCAGGGCTCAGGATAGATTCGGGTATCCCAGACATGGAGGACATTAATATATGGTCAGACATCAGTGCTACAGTGAATAGGTTGCAATTTCTAACAAAGATCCAAAATATACACTATGCACTATGTGGAAAGAAAAACAATTCTCTTTACTTATATTAGAATTGCCTTTCAGCCAACCTCCAGTCAGATAAAATTAATTTCAATACCATGATATGAATATAAAAAATAATTTCAATAAATCTTAGTATTGAATCAACAATATAATCCAAAACATCTTTTGTTGAACTGCTACCCTTTTTTTGGACCCCAGTCCTCAGCACACCCCACAAGAACAAATTAGCCATAATTCCAATGACTCCTCTGAGAGTAACTCGAACAATGAGTTGTTGGCTGCAGAACCAGAGAATTTCCTAAATTAGTCACTTTATGCTTCCTCTGCTTCAGAAACCTGAAATGAGACTAAGGCATAAATAATGAAAGGTGGAAATTTTGGTTAGTGTTAAAAAATCTTAACATCTGGATGATGAAGGGAATTTTCTTCCTTTCTGTCTAGACATTTTTGGTGCCCTGTAGACACAGAAAGTGCTAAAAACCGAGCCCCTCCTCTTTTCCCTGCACATTTCCCAGTGACTTCAGAATGTGCACATTCAGGGCTAAGCACTGTGAACGCAACAGCACATTTTCCCTCTGGAGAGCTGTCACTTCTAGGCCAAAGCTCAGGTGAGAAGCAGAAGGCAGCACCGCAGCCAGCCCAGCAAGAAATGGCTTTTGGCTAGGGGCGACTTTTTGAAAGCAGAACCACGGAGAAAGTTTGGGAATTATGATTAGGCGTTCTTAAAGAATTGAAAGGAGAAGGAAGTTGGCAAGCAATTCTGTGAGCAGCATAGAAGGCTAATAGGGACACTTACCCCACGTCCAGTTCAGGTTTACTGACACAGACACACACTGGCCTCACCTTCCCAGCGTAGTGCAGAATGCCAAAGCACAGCTCCACTCCCTTAGGCCTCCAGAAGTATTGGCTTCGTAGATTATCTTCAAATTTATCTGTGTGGATTGTCATGTTTACAAGTTACAATGAGAACTGTCAGCTCCTTCAAACAAAGAGGTGCTCCTTGAGCCAGGAGTGACCCAGAATAAAGGATATTCAGGGCAACCTGAGGTTAACACTGTATGTACAACGATGGAGAAAAATGACACAGGCTTACAGTCAAGTCTTTGCTTAGTTGTTTCATGGTGTCTTCAGTGTCAGGCTATGCCCTAAGATCTCTTGTTCTAAGAACTCTTAGCATGGACACTGATGACACCAGAACTCTGGTCAATTAACTTTAGAACCATAAAGATATCCCATGGAAGTCAAGCAAACCTGGCATGAACTTATTGTGGCAACTTCTGATGATTTTATAGGTAAAAGAAAACCACCAAGTGTGACAATTTCAATGCCTAGAAGGGAATCTCTCCCACCAATCAATTTTCTATCTGGGGAAAAGGCGTGGAGCTTTCTGTTCCTCCCTCAATAAATAATTTTTGCTATTGTTGTAACTCAGGGTCTACTCTGCGTGAGGAACTGTGCTAAGTACTGAAGGGATTGACTCCTCTGAGAGTAGATAGTAGAAAGCAAAGATTGGTGCTTCGTTGCCCAAAATATCTCACAATCTCAGTGTGGGATGAGATTGCGTGGAACACCGATGATTAGAGGAATAGGGATAAAATGTAGAGGGCCTTTTTTAATGTCAGGAGAAGATGTCTTATTGGCATCCTACAGACAACAGTAACTTAATGAAAAGGAGGTTTTAGAAAGACTAAATCAGCTGGGATGTTTAGGGTAGAGCGGATAAGTATGAACCTAGAGGCCAAAGACCAGAAGAGTCTTCTATACAAACCTGGACTAGACATGGATGGATCCAAGCAGATACATGACAGAAGGGTATGAAAAGGACAAGAAGCAAGCAAGTATTGATTATAGGAAATAAGGGAGAAGAAGGTATAAAAATGATATTGGCACCAACAGGAAAGTGAGGAGGGCTTGGTGATGGGTTTGCCTTAAAACACAAATCTATGAGGACATCTGCTGAAGATATCAATTCATTAAAAACAGGCTCTATACTTGCACAACCTAGTGGGAGGGACAGAATACCAAGTCAAAATACCAACGAACCAAGTTCTCTCCTGAGTGTATTATGCCTTTTCCAAGAGACACTTACCAACTAGGGTCTGATCAGTTGCTTGGGGAAATCGACTTTCCTCATCCAAAAGCGCAAGCAGTCCCAGGGGTTTCTGGAGGAACATGTCCAGGAGTGGGCGATTGTCCTCATACACCACAGGTGTAACATCAATACCTTCATTTTGATATTCCATCTGGAGGAACATAGATTGTAAGTCTCTCCAGCCTGAAACTGGCCTATGTAGCACCAGGCTGCTTCGGCGTGCACTTCCGTGTTTGGCAATGCTGACTGTATGTGGGAAATAGGCTGTCTTAGGACTGTAGTAAAAGGCTCTTCTGCATACCCCACTGTTGAAGCTTTGGGTATAAGTCTGGCCTACAGGCAGCCTGTGGCAGACAGCTGAGGCAGCAAAAGAAGGGATAGGGCTGTCTCCCAAACACCAACTCAGTTAGTCATAATTTAGAAACCGACATGGAATAGAAGGGCAACTGAAAAAGAATTATTTTGGTGATAAATATGGCTTAAACCAGGAAAGAAGCAGACTTTAATTTTCTGTAAAGCATTCTACAATGGAATCACCTCAGACTGAAAAACTAGAAAACTCCAGATTTCCCAGGGAATAAATGCAAGGAGCTAAGTGAAAAGAGGTTGAGTTTTATGCAGGGTAGGAGGGGAGAGGAGAGTGATAGAGCTCTATCCAGTTCCACTGATAAAGCCAATACTGATATTTTTACTCCATGTCTTTGTGTTTATGTAATCACAGTACAGTGTGTGTGTCTTCGCTCCTAAAGCAAAGGGTCCAGTCAGAATATTTCATTGTTGAACTACTTCATACAGGACAAAGTTTTGGGTTGGGGTAGAAACTGGGGTGGAGAGGAAGGCCTCCTAGCCTTTGGGCACATGAGCTTCACACTCTGTTTTATTTACCATTAACCTCATAAGGGAAAGACTTTCATTTGGAGAAAACCAAGAACATAGCTTACTCCTCCCTGGAGACACTCCCCCTCCCAAGTTACTGTGGGATCTGGTGTGCAGGAGATGGAGGGTGGAGAAGCCTGTTTGGGAGTTAGGAAACACAAGAATCTGTGCCCTGAATTCAAGTCCATCCTGTGTCATTCTGGACACAACATAGATGCTTTTTTAGTCAAATAAAGTAGAAGAGAATGTAGCATTTTGGACAGTGTGCATGAAATAGTTTGGAAGCAACATTTAAATAACTGGCTTGTCACCAGCTCCACTCAAGAGAGGAAATGTAACTTTCCACGGAAATCAAGACTTTTTCTCTGGCAAATTTCAGTTATTTATTTTGATAGACTGTCTCACCAGTGTTTTTTCCTTAGAATCTTTTACCTGTCAGCCTAACAGGGTTTCTGCTTCAAATTGTGGGCAGCCTGGAGACACCTTCCCCATCAGGTTTAATTACTTCAGAGTTCACTGTTACCTGCTCAAGAGCAAAAACGTGCTGGTTGAAATAGTACTGGATTTGCTCATTGGCGATGTTTATGCAGAGCTGTTCAAATGAATTTCTCTGAAAGTTCTCGAATCCAAAAATATCCAAGATCCCCACATTAATACCATCATCTGCACTACTGCATGAGAGAGAAGAAAAAAGCCTTTTAGGGGAGGAAACATTCATCTCAAGATGATGAAAATGTATGGGCCCACGCGTTTACCAACTTACACAACCACCTGTGGAAAGCAGCATTCAGCTGTCTCTAAGGGAAGAAACAGTTTGTGTCTTACACCAGTCCTTCCTACAGTCTTTCAACGGTATTTCCAACTTTTTTTTTTTTTTAAGCAGTAGAGTCCTTTAAAATCTCACTCAGAAGCTCCATATAGAGATTAGGGAGGAACCACTCAGTTTGAAGGGGCTAGAACTGCTGCCCATTCATTCTTCAACCTTCCCACCCATTGGGCTTAATTGGAAGAATACTCTAGAATTTGATGTTGTTAATTCTTCCACAACATAGAAACCACTAATGCTTAGGAAAGAAAAGGTAGTAGTAGCAGCAGCAATCATATTATAAGATACGGAGCTCTAAAACTTTTCATGAAACAACACTATGAGGAGGATAGTATTACCCTCATTTTACAGAGGAGAAAACTGTGACTTAGAACATGGGAGCCAATCAAACTATACGGCTAAAATGCAAACCCAGTTGGCCCAGCTCCCAGTTAAGCCTGTTCTCTTAAACACTACACTATGATAGCTGTCATGTCAGTCATGTGCCTCTTCCATTCTCCTGGATCCTCTTCTCCTTTCAAAGGAAAAGACCTGAGAGCTTCACTAAAGGAAACTCAGGAGAGGACCTAACACTTCCTCTTGCACATCCTGAGAGATATCGGGACCACTGACAGCTCTCCCAAGGCCTCTGTTTCCCGAGGGAACTTGCCATATGCTTTTGTCTGGATGCAGGAGTGTATTGATGCGATTGACAATCCAACTGAAGAGCCTCCCATACAGCGCTTTGGACATGGCATCTCGGACATCAGCAGCCCTATCGACAGTATTGGCTCGGACGATGGTCTCACCACGGGTGACCACACAGTATGAGATAAGGGCGTCTTGGAGTTCTTCAGGGCTGATGCAGAGAACGGAGGCAGCTGCAATAAAGGGTAATGATGACACCAGAGAATGTACTCATCCATCCACCCATCCATCCATCCATCCATTCAGCCAGCACTGACTCAACATCTACAATGTGCCAGGCTCTGCCTAGGCACTTCAGATGCAAAAGCAAGGAAGCCAGGTCCCTAACCCCAAGAAGTATCTGGATGGATACAGTATCTCCCAAGTGGTTCTGAAAGCTCTTCACAGGTGTTTGATAAGAAAAAGTGAGAGGAGATGGTCTTTGGTCAAAGAGTTGGGGACTGTATTCAAGAGTCATGAAGCATCTTAGTTTATTAAAGGCAGTGAAAGATGCTGCAGTTTAAGACAAAAGGTGTTTATTTAAATCATTTTTTTTTCTAATTCAGGATTCTCATTCCTTGTGTCACCATTATTACCCTTAGAACTTTAAACAGGTGCCTGCTTGTCCCCTGCAGCTGCTGGTACAGTGGATTCAGACAGGGATCCACCTCTTGCATTTTTTCAAAAAATTGTAGATGATTTTCAAAAGTAGCCAGTGTTGACACCACTGCCAGACCTGCTATGGAATTCTTTTTGGCAGAGCTTATGGAAAGAATACTGATGTTCCATAAGTCATCCTTTGGAAAATCCTAGTTAGTGAAAACACCCACACTATATTTCACAGCATCTTGAGAAACTACCAAGATGAAAACTACCAAAGTGAAAGAAACATGCAATTTGGCTACACGGGGCACAGATATCAAACAATTACCATTTTCCAAAGCTTCAACATTGGGCACCTCACTTTTATCAGTTTGATGTTGAGAGGAAATAGCTGCAAACTCAATGCTTCCAATATTCAAAATCCCAGCCAAAATTCTGTACACTGAGTGCACCTCCTGAAAAGGACAGCAAGAACTGTGTTTGGTCACTGCCAATCCAACCAACAAACCACTAGCACTGCTAGCTGTCCACCAAAGTCCAACACCCCCTCTTTCCTGGGCACACGAACAAATTTCTAAAGCTCCCTTGCAGTTAGGCAGTGGAACTCAATTCCCAACAAAGGAGCAAGTAGGATGATGTGGGCGAATTCAGAGCCCAGCCTTACAGAAGCAAACATGCCTCCTCCATGCTTTCTTTCCCATTATTGATGGCTGGACCTCCCAACAACCCAGCCTCCCACACAGTTGTCTAGGATTCCTAAGACCAATGACTGCATGGAACAAAGTTGTTCTGCAACATGAATCTCTCACTTTGAAATGCTTCCATAAGGGACCACTGATCTTCTTTGTTCTTTAAGCCACTTTTAGCCATTTACCCTAACTAATACCAGCTCTAAATTCAGGTATGTTCTTTCTTCAAAATGAAAGAGGAGATGTTTCCTTTACCACTTTTGAATATAGCTTTTATGAAATAGTTATCAGGGACACTGAATATTTTGAAGTTAAATAATGGAGTACAGATTAATGAATGAGGTCGGGAAATACTCTGACTCACTAGAAATTATCTGTGATATTGTGATATAATAAAAACATACATTTGGTCTTCATACTGATTTCTCGCACAAGAGCTAAACAACCCATGGAATTATGAGCAACAGGTGTTAAAGGAGTATCCTCTTATTCACAATAAGCCCCTCAACCGTAACTGAGTTTGTGCCAATGAAGTAACTCTTGGGAAATGGGGCCAGTTGCTAGAGACCACACATGTGGGTTGGAATTTTTAGCTGAACCATGGACTTCCATGAGTGAATCACCAACTGACAATAACTTAATCATTTATTCCTATGTAATGGAATAAATCTCTAATCGATGAGGTCCAGAATACTTTCAGGTTGTGAGAAGTGGTGAGAGAAGGTGGTACTACTCCCTTTCCCATTACCTTGCCCTATACATCTTTTCCATTTGGCTATTCCTGAGTTGCATCCTTTATAATAAACCAGTAATACTAAGTAAACTGTTTTCCCAAATTTTTTGAGTCCTTCTATCCAATTATTAAACTCAAGTTTGGGGTCCTGGAACTCTAAACCCCCCATTTTATAGCCACTTGGTCAGTAGGTGAACCCTAGGGCTTGCAATTAGTGTCGGAAGTGGGGACAATCTTGTGGAACTGAGCCCCTAACTTGTGTGATCTGATGTTAACTCCAGGTAGACAGTATCAGAAATGAACCGAATTGTAGGAGAATTGGTGTGAGGGGGAAAAAAACTCCACGCATTTTATGTCAGTATTGTGAGTAAATGTAGATTATCTAAGTCCTATTTTTATATTGAAAGTCAAATACATAAGTAGCATTAATGGTAAAAAAAAAAAAAAAAGTGTATTTACTTATTTAAACATATGCATTTCCTGTAGGTGAGACAAATATGCAGCCAGGAAATTTCTGCATCTTATGCTTATAGATGGAGAAAAGTACTTCCACAAAATACACTCAAGTGAGAAACTTGATTTAGTACTATACATAGCAGCAAACTAATAGGAACTGTCATTAGACCATTGATAAAGGACTATTCCCAAAGTGAGCCCTCCACTGAACACAGACTGTAATAGTGACATCTGCTGGATACCTGATAATGCTACAAAGACAAATGAGGATTTTAAACCAGGCTTCTACTACAGATAAACACTGTTCTTCAACCTTCTAAATCAAAGGCAAGATGTCATTTTTTGTGTGTCAAAAATCACTGTTTTAATCACACAACTGAAGACTGGCTAAGAAGAACATCTACTAAATGGGTTTTCTGGGACTCGTCTGGATTTAACATGACAGACCTCATTACCTTGATCAATACATCACCCATGTACCGTATGGTAGAAGATAATCAGGAGTATGTTCATCTGAGGGATTACACCTCTCCTCCCCCACCACCCTCACACAGAACTTCTTGATCAAGCCTCTTCTTTTCTTCCTACACTAGCCTGATTTTTCACCTTCCTCACTTTGCTTATTTCCTCTTGCCTGGTCTCCAGCTATGCAGCCTTTCCTGGTATCCCTGCCTTTGCTACCAAATCTTGCTATGATGCTCTATCTTTTTATTTCTTAGGTTTCCAACTTACTATATGATAAACCAAAATAATGTCATTCAGGACAGGAAATACTATCAAGAAGATTAATGATTCCTCTAGCTGGTTTCCCAATTCATTGCTGGTGAGTATGAATGCGTTTTCACCAACAATCAGTAGAAGTGGGGTCTTTGCTGCTGCTGCTGCTTTCTTCTTCTTCTTCTTTTAAAAGATATTTTTTAAGATTTTATTTATTTGACAGAGATAGAGAGAGTGCATAAGTATGGGGAGTGACAGGCAGAAGGAGGGGGAGAAACAGACTCCCTGTTGAGTAGGGAGCCCGATGCAGGGCTCTATCCCAGACCCTGGGATCAAGACCTGAGCCACTCAGGTGCCCCTCCTTTTTTCTTTTTCTCAGGAGACACTCTTTTCACTGTTTTAGGTATTCTTTCAATAAAGTTGAGGCTAAGTAGAAAATTGAAAAGCACCTCGGTTTTCTGTTAGCCTGGAGCTGATTAAGGAAATTGCTACTAGCATGGTTTACAGCCCTTTCATGGTAGTTGTTTCCCAATACCTTCCTAGGAACTGACCTGCCCTCTCAGTGTCTCTTTACCTCGTTTCCTTTTTATAGGTCTCTCTCTCTCTTTTTTAACCAATTCTGCCCTAAGCACATTAGATCCAATTAAAGGGTCTTCTCCCTTATGCGCTCTATCCCAACACCTATCTTCAGGTTCCTTTTCAAAGGCTCACAATATTTGTATCTTGAAAGCCAATGATTGGTTTAAAAAATTTGGGGGGGGGGTGTATATCAATCATACATCAATAAAGTAGTGTAAAAAAAAAGTCAATGCTAAGTCCTATTTTCTGTCATTAAGACATTGGAAATCCCCAATTTATATTTTCACATATAACCCTTCAGTGTCTCTTCAGCAATACTCTCCCAAATTCATCATTTATCTTGAAGAAAGGGAGAAAATTCTGCCCTAATCTCAAAACCTTCTCCTTAACCTCTTCATCTGTAGTAAATATCCAATGTTGACCATCATGCAGATAATCTACCAAAAATGTTTTCATGTAGTATTAAATATAAATATGTTATGGTAATTCATATACCAGTAAGACAAGCATAATATTAAGCAAAAATAATATGGTTGACTCAAAAAAAAAAAAATAGTACTCCAAAAGCCTGGATCTTCATAATAGGGTTTTAGGTATAATCCCACCCCACCCCTCACCCCTGCCCGATCCCCTGCAAAGAGCCATCATTGCTAGTGGAAGTCTCCTTCTACCAGGGAGTCTTCTTTACAGTAAAGTCAGGGTCAAGTGTTCTTTCAGATACTTTTGGCTGGTGTCCCAGAATTAAAATTCATGCTCCCGAGTCCACACTGAGGTTTGCTACTCATAAAATTTTGCTGTAAGAGTTTGGGAGAATCTGAGTAATACTATGAACATTTCTGCAGGGAAATAATGACATTATAAGAAAGAAGGGTAACCATAATTTTGATTAAATTGACCAGTTCATTTAAGCTCTGTCTAGAAATGTCCCTCAGATAAACTTAAGAAAATGTTCTGATACATCAGCTATTTGGCATCTGCTCCCTGACTACATTCTACTGAGTCTTTCTGAATTTAGCCAAACTATTTTGAGTTTATAAAGTGAATTGAGTGAATTCAGCAAAAAAAGGTTGTCTGTAGAAACACAGACAAAGATATAACCAAAAAATTTAGAGAGATATGAGCCAGCTTCTTCCTTCCGTTTCCAAGGTTGCTAACTGACATAAGTTTATTTCCAATATGAATTAATATGGGACATGGACATAAATGCATATATATACACTTACACTTTGGTTATTCATTTTACAGTCCAGATCAGACAGAAATCAAGTGTGTTTATCACTTTTTACATTTCTTTATTTTCATATTTATTCATGCATTCATTCATTTCTACTCCACTTTTCTTCCACAAGGGTTAGAGACAGGTTACTTCAAGGACACATATGTAGCATATTTAATTTGTTTTGTTTTTAATTTTGTTTTCTTAAAATAGCATCTGTTTGATTATTATTTGCACTATATTTCTATTATTAGAAAAGAGCCATTATAACCCTCTTTTAGAGCTAGGACCAATCTCTTCACAGTATTCTATAACTATCTTTACACTCATTGAAAGCAAAATATTTTTAAGATTTTTATTTATTTCAGAGAAAGAGAATGTGCTTACGCACAGGCAGGAAGAGGGGCAGAGGGAAGAGAGAGAGAGGGAGAGAATCTCAAGCAGACTCCACACTGAGCATGGAGCCTGACCTGGTGCTGGATCTCATGACCCTGAGATCATGACCTGAACCAAAATAAAGAGTCTGACACTTAACCACCTGAGCCACCCAGGCACCCAGAAAGCCAAATATTATTAACCTTATGGCTAACTCTCTATCCTTTTATCCTGTACCCTTTTAAGGCAGTATGCCCCTGAACACTTTGGCACGACCTAGGTGACTTTAAATTGCTCTACTGCCATGTCCACCACGCTTGGACTCTTCTGGTGATGCATCTTGATAATAACCAGCTCCATAAATTAATAACTATAAAGGCCCTTTAATAAGGCTTGAACCTGTTTAATTGCTCTCCTCTAAGGAGCCAAGGGAAATACAGTTCTGTTTTTATCTGTCCTGTGGGATTTTCCACTGTCTGTCAGTCTAAAGTCAGTGGGAGGCCAAAAGAGAAAATTAAACAGCTGCTTAGAAAAAAGGAAGGTATTATTATGACTAAAATCGGCCATGCTGGGTAGGGAAGGGCTGGCCAAACTCATTAGATTACAGAAGCAATCCTTTACCCAGAGTGGCTGTCCCAGGGTAAATGGAGTGTCTTGTAATCTAATCCCTTAAGATTTAACAATCTCACCTACCTCCTAATCATTCACCACCTTTGTTGGAAAAGCAAAAGAATCTGTGTATTTTGCCAAATTGATGGCATGAAGCCCAGAAACTATGGCATAAATGAATCACAGAATAATATTTGAACCTAGGGTTATAAATATCTTCTGTCACCCCTGGCATATATTTAATAGAGACAGCCTGTATCTAGAAAGATAAGAATAGTACAATACTTAGAGCTAGAGGTAGTAATGTGCATCTGTGTATCACAGAGAAGGAAGTGACTGCAAGAAAGTTGAAAAGCTTCAAATTAATTTGTTTTGGTGCACAAGGAACTACTAGCATAAATATATTTCTGTAGCTGGGTGTAACTTACATATCCCCATACTTCTATTACACAATTCACTTTAATGCCTGGAACAACCTCAACTCAAGAAAAAGGCAGTATTGCTTTGGTGTTTGTTATCATAGCTATAGTGAACTGGTGACAACGGGAACAATTTGCAGGTATGAGGCTGTTATGACAGTATTTCTACTTTAATATTCACCTGTGCATCTTGTTTAAAATCAGATTCTGGTTCAGCCATTCTTAGATGGGCCTGGGAGTCTACAAGTCTGCATTCCTTCTTTTTAGAGAGGGAGGACAGGGAGAGGCAGAGGGAGAGAAAATCTTAAGCAGACTCCACACCCAGCATGGAGTCCAACATGGGATTTGATCCCACGACCCTGAAATCATGACCTGAGCCAAAATAGAGTCAGACATTTAACTAATTGAGTCATCCAGGCACCGCCCCCCGCTTCTATATTTTTGAGCCTTTTTTTTTTTTTTTTTTTTTTTTTTTTAAGATTTATGTATTTGTTTGAGAGAGAGAGAGAGAGAGCATGCGGGACAGAGAAGGGCAGAGGGAGCGAGAGAGAATCTCAAGCAAACTCCCCGCTGAGTGTGGAGTCCAACTTGGGGTTTGATCCCATGAGCCTAAGATCATGACCAGAGCTGAAATCAAAAGTCACACTTAATTGACTGAGCCATCCAGGTGCCCTGAGAGTCTGCATTTCTAACAAGCTCCCAGGTGAAGATTCTGAGGAGCAAGAACTTATACATGATCAGATGACGGGGGTGGGGGATCCTCCTCCAAGTTAGAACATTCACATCTTCACTCACATTGATCCAAGAATATGAACACTTGAGTTTCTTTTTCTCTTGGCAATCACTTACCTTGTCAGTGAATCCTATAATTCTGAAGCAATGCTGAATTGCTTCAAATTGTCTTCTGTAAGACTCCTTGTTAGTTATGTCATGTATCACCCTTCCAGTTTCATCGGCTATATACCTAAATGGGGTAGGACCAAATACAATGAGCATTGTGTTGGCAAATGGCCCCCCGAATACCAGGCCATCACTGGGTTCCATCTTCGCCAGGGCAATTCCCTTTCAGTCTAATAGTGAAGTAGAATAATGGCACACGCAGCTGAGTAAAATGGCTATAGTTAAGTTTCTGAACTTTCTCGGAAATGAAAATGGTGAGACATAGTTCCTGCCATCTTATCCTGGGTATTTCAACTTAAGAGACTATCAGTATCCAGTTAGGAAAAACAGTTCCATTTATTTCTAAGTTTTCTCAAATGCTAGTCACACATTCATTAAAAATCAACAACTAAAACCCCTGACACTTACCTAGGAGGCTTTTCCTCAGGAAGTCTGAACTCAGAAAGTTTCTTCTGGTGATAAAGACCAGCATAAATGTAGTAAAATATGTGAAAATTTTTCTCTCCCCTGAAAAAGGGGGGTGGGGATATTATTAATAACATATTCTGCTTCTGCGCTTCAAGTAATTTATACCATTTTTGTTCTATGAAAAATATTATCCTGTGGCAAATTTACATTTCCAAATATGCAAATTAAATAGGCCACAACCCAATTATAGCATAGGAATAGTGATAGGATTAGTATAGTAATTGTCACAGTGTCACATTATTAAACACACGTATCTTTACACAGAAGGAGGTTTCAGAGAATGGAACATTCATATATAACAGCTCAGGTTACACATGTTTAGAGATCTTTCTAGTACAGCCCAAATGACTATGCCTCTATGCCACTTACTTTCCATTTGTAGTCCACATTGTTTAAGAGACAACTGTTATCCAGCTTAGAGAGCTATTTTATTGGGGCCCCAGACAAGAAGTGGGTCTCCAGTCCTATGGCAAGTTAGGAGCAGAACTGGTCCCAGAACTGAGATCTCCACTCTTTCAAACCTATATTCTTTCAAAGTGGCATGCACCAGTCCTCTGGTCTCCTGCTGTCCACTCTCTTTTAGCCATCATGGCCAAGGTCCTTTCAGATCTGTGTTACTCTAAGTGTGGTCTGTGGATTGCTGTCAGTGTACATGTCTAGATATTTTACACCACGCAACATTGCCATGACATCCATGAGTATAATAATTTTTTGGATAATTCATTTCCATTATGTTTTACAAGGTATTAGTACACAATGGATTGAGAAATTTTAAACTGGTCCTTTGGCATAGACAGTTTGAAAAAGCCCTGCTCTGGGTCCCTTTCCTTCCTCTGGAGGACAGTCTCTTTTGTTGATATCCCTAGGATTTGGCAAATCCTCACCTTGGCCAACTTAGCTCTATGGAAAGAAATCTTGTTTCTTTTCCTTGTTCTCTTCTGTGACATGGGCCCCACTCTTCCCTTCAGTTTCTCCTAGGTATTCTGGTCTTCCTTTGGTCATTTATTGTATCAAAGCTCTTCTCCTGTATTCTTACTCCTGTCCTATATTCTAGATGCCTCTGCTTGCCATTTTGTACTCATTTGTTCCCTCAACTAATAAGTTTACCAAGTGCCAATCATGGTGGGATGGCACCACAGTGCCAGGAATACAAGACTAGGAGATTTCATGCTTTCTGGAGCTTTCCTTCTAGTGACAGAGTTTGAGGAAACAAGGAAACCTGTGATGAGGGCTTTGAAACAAACAAAAGGCTGAGACAAGAACAGTGTTGGGGGATTAGGCCTACTTTTGTCAAGTTAGGAGAAGGACTCTCTAAGGAAATAACACTTAAGCCAAACACTGAAACATGAGAAGGGCCTGGAAGGAGCTACAGAAAGAAGGGAGAAAGCATTCCAAAGACAGGGAGCAACATATACACAAGGGCTCTGAGCATGATACCCACATAGAACAAATTAAAAAAAAAAAAAAAGCTAGTGAGAAGGGGGTGGGCAGGTGGGCAGGGCCAGCCCACACCAAGCCTTGTTAGGCCATAATGAGGACCTTATTAATTAGGCAGTTAGAATTCTTTGAAGCATTTTAAACTGGACCCACATTGCACTGTAAGTATAAGGCGTGAGTAGATCCATGTTGAAAAAAGTACCTTCTAGCTGCAGGATGAAAACTAGACTATAAAAAGCCAAGATGGATACAAGGAGACCAATCAGGAGGTCCAGGTGAGACAGCAAGTGACTTGGATAGGTAACGATGATAGTGATGATGGAGAACAAGGGTAAGCTTAAAGGTCTATTTTGAGGAATAAGTAAAAGAACATCCTGAGAGAATGAATGAAGGCAGTGAGGGAAAGGGATCTGGATTCTGCCTCCTAGGTATCTAACTTGAGCATCTAGTAACTATACATCTATTCACAGAGATGATAAAGCCCTTTTAGGGCTTTATGAATCAGTATGCCTGGTACAAATGCCACTTATTTTTTAAGCTCTGATAACAACATGCTGGCTTTGGCTGACCCATATTGGTCTTGCCTTCTTATAGTGTTTTTTTGCAGATATTTCTAGTTCTCAATTCTTCTGAACATTGTCTGCCAATATCCACCCCCATCATAAATTCAATTTAGTTTTCTTCCCTGCATATATCTGGTTTGGCTAGGTTTGGTTGCAATAACAAACATCCCAAAAATGTTAGTGGCTTAACAGAAGGTCACTTCTTGCTCAGAGTACATGTCCACTGAGGGCCAGCAAAGGGAAGGGGGCTGTGCTCATCATAGTCACTCATGGGCCCAGGCTTATGAAGCAGCCACCATCTCGCACTTTGCTGAGGGTCTTGCCATTAAACGCTCATTTGCTAGAACTGGTTATATGACCACATCCAACCCCAGCATACCTAAAAGGGAAATCCCTCATGTGCCTGGAAGGGAGCAGACAAGAAAGCTTAGGTGAAACAGGACCTTCACAAGCCCCATTTTCTTCCCTCATCCAATAACTTCAGTCTATTTTACCTCAGCACTGCTGTCATATTGAATAAATTTAATAATCATAATGTTATGGTATATTAGATACCTATTATGTTTCAAATTCTATGTTTGGTATAAATCACATATCTCATTTGATTCTCGTAATAGCCCTGTATAGGTGATTTTATTATGCCCTTTTTGCATATAAGGAAAGTAAAGTATAAGGATATTATATTAAGTGACATATACAACAAATGACATAGCTGTGATTGGAACCCTCTTCATATTATCTTTGCAAAAGACCACTTTACATTTGTACCCAGAAAACTGTATTTTCCATCATGTCAGAGGTAGCTTCATAAACTTTAAAATCACCCTAATTTGGGGAGAAAGAAGGAAGGGACATCATAAAAATTAATCAAGAAGCCATAGGGAAGCTAAAATAACTCTCACTCTGTCTTTTTGTTCATTTGTTTAATTTGCACGCCAGCCCCTATTTTGTGAGGAAACTGCAAATGTATGACAGAGGAGGATGCTTGAGTTCTGACCCCGGAACAAGTGCTGTGGACTGTCCTTGCACAGTAGCTCTCAGATTCATCGACTTCTCTCCACCTCTCTCCACTGCTATGCTTTCAGTCCAGGCTAACATTCTGCCTCACAGGGATCTGGCAATAGACAGCCTCCTAATGGTCTCAACAGGATCCCTACTGCATCTCCAATCCATTCTCCCCACTGAAGCCAGAGCAGTCATTTGAAATGCAACTTGGGTTTTGTGACTCCTCTGCTTGAAAACATTAAATGGCTTCCTACTGCCTTTATTTTTCTTGAATATTTTATTTATTTATTTGACAGAGAGAGCGAGCGAGAGAGCACAAGCATGGGGAGCAGTGGAAAGAGAGGGAGAAGCAGGCTCCCCACTAAGCAGGGAGCCTGATGCAGGGCTCAATCCCAGGACCCCGAGATCATGACCTGAGCCAAAGGCAGACACTTAACTGACTGAGCCACCCAGGCATAACCCTACTGCCTTTAGAATAAGGTTCAAAATCCCCAGCCTGGTTCCAAAGCCCAGACCAGATGATCTGGTCTCAGGCTCATCTTTACCTGTCTCCCTTATTGGGAGGAGCACCACCTTGTTTGCCAACCCGTAGTGATCCTTAGTCTCAGATTAACTGTCTCATACACAGGGAGCCCCTCTCTTCCTGTTCTAGCTTATGTGCCCTTCCTTCTCCTCTTTTACCTTCACAGCACCTTATACTGTTTCCTAGGACTTATCCTAATCCTTCTGCCTTTAAGTTTATTTATTTGTTTAATGCCTGTGATCCTCCCTCCTCCCCAACCCCCACCCACTCCAAGCTCCATGAATACTGCCACCTTGTCTATTTTGCTTACTCCTGCAAGTCCAGCAGGGAGCACAACACTAGCAAACAACAAGCATTCACTAGATAATTACTGAAAATACATGAATGGACCATGTTCCTAAGGAAGTCTAGGGTCCCGCAATAATAATAAAAAGCACGGATAGCCCTCTAATAACCTGTACTGCACAAGGCACTTTTTAAAGTAACTTTATATATATGAAATCATTAATCTTCACAGCAAACCCATGAGGTAGGTACTACTGGCATCTCCATTTCACAGGTAAATCACAGAGAGGTTAAGTGACATAACCAAGGGCAATAAATGTCAGAGCCAGCATTTGAATCCAGAGAATTCCATACTATTGATCATTGTTGCTAGACTGCTCTTCTTAAAACAAAATCATTTTTTTTTCCTTTTCAATCTAGGGAAAAAAGTAGTATGTGGAATATGACCAATGCTTTTTTTAATAGTTCAATTTTAAGGTATCTAGTGATTTTTCCTGAAGATGTATTTACTTATTTGAGAGGGAGAATGGGGGCAGGGGAGGGAGAGAGGGAGAGAGAGAGAGAATCTCAAGCAGATTCCATGCCAAGTGTGGAGCCCAAAGCAGGGCTTGATCTCACAACTCTGAGATCGTGACCTGAACTGAATGTTCAACCAGCTGTGCCACCCAGGTGCCCTGGTACCTAATGATTTTTAAAAGTGTTCACAATGTTTTAAATTCTCCCTGGCATAATCAAAAAACGGGCATACTAATTCCAAAGTACTCCCACCCCAACCCTTGTACTTGGTCTGCAAATATCTTTTAGGTTAAAAATTATCACTTATCCTTTGCTTAAATGATTCCTTGTTCTTGGACAGCCTGGGGGTGGGTTGGGGGGCATGGATGCTAAGAAAAAGGTGGAACGGGGCCATTAAAATGACCAAAGCCTCCTGGTCTATCTTGCAGAGCAAAAACAGAGTGAAAAAATCATGCACCTACACTGCCTGTTTTATAACTCTGGATTTTTCAAGGAGATACTCAGAGATTCTTGCCCCCATCACAGCTCCGGTTGGTGTAAACATCATTTCCAGATATTTTCCAAAGCGGCTGGAATTGTCATTGATGGCAGTGCATGCATTTCCAAAGGCTTCCACCAGGGAGTTGACTTGCAGAATTTTCTCTCTCAAGGTCTGATTATTGGCCTGTGCCAAACAGACAACAGTCAAGAGGAGCTTCCAGAAATATGATCTTGGCAAAATTGCCAGGCACCCCCTCCTGCCCCCCACAAATTCACATTATCCTTTTGGGAAGAACTTCACTTGGGGAAATTAGCATCAACCACCAGCACTGTTTTCTCAGACGAGCAACTCCCCAGGTGCACGGGTATCAGATGGGGCTAGATTAGGTTTTCAATTTTTATATCCAGTCACACTTCACTTAAAATCCTTGACAGATAAAATGCCTAAACAGTTTAGAAAGAGTTTTAAAGAGAGAGATCCCATAACTTTTCTCTGTCATCCATTATAACGTTCAATAAACCTCATTTGTAGAAAATACTCCTTAAATTCTTAGTCTCGTAATACACTAATTCTGAATCTAAGAAACTGCTACACTATTTTTAAGTCATTCCTTCAACGTCCATTTCACCAAGCTAAAAATTTCCATTCCCTTCAAGTTTTGCTCAAAGATTTATGTTTTCCAATCCTTTAATCGCCTTAGTGGCTTTCCCTGAGCCTGTTCCTAGTGTTTAACCACTTTTGCTACTTAATGGCTAAATGTTTCTATTACATTGAAAACATAAAAAATTAATTGCTGATAATCTAGTAAATTCGTGCTGGCATTATTTTCCTCACTACGTGAAAGAGGGATGGCATGCTGACATCTTAAGAGGCCTTGCTATCAGGAAGTAAACATAATAAAGATGGAAGGTTCTTATATAACAACTAATAAAAACCAGTAGTTCCATCATTTATAAAATATGCAGTTACACTGGCAAGGATTCTAGCCATGACACATAAAACAGGTGGTCAATACCTTTCCCAAGAAAGTCAAATGCTGAACAATCAGGTGGGCACTTTCTGTCTTCCCAGAGCCACTTTCTCCACTGACGACAATGCACTGACACAGAAAAAGGAGTGAGAGTGAAGAATTCATAGCACAGTATGTTCAGGGATGGTTTTCATATAATATCCACCACTGTACACCTTCCTTTTGTTCATTGAATGATTTATCTAAGGAATCTTTCCATTTTCGTACACTGAGAACTTCTTCAACCTTTTCACCGCTGCTTGGTCCATTGTAAGGATGTACCAGAGTCAATTTAACCAGTCTCGTATTGATGGGCACATAAGGAGTATACTGCAATAATGACCCTATATGTAGGGCATTATATTTACATGCAGGCTCTTCTATAGAATAAATTCCTAGAAATGGGCTGCTGAAGTCAAGGATAAATACATTTATAAATAGGATAGGTAGTACCAAATTGCTTTCCTAAGGACTGGACCAATCCCTGAAAGTGCCTGCTCTCCTACAGCCTCACTAATAGGGTATGTTGGGTTTTTGCCAATCGGAAATGTAAGAGAACAGTCTTGGTCTCAAGACCAAGTGTAGTTTTAACTTGCATTTATTTATTATGAGTGAGACTGAGATCTTTTCATATGTTTAAAGTTATTCATATTTTCTTTTTTGTGAACAGCCCATATCCTTTGCCTGTTTGTTTGGTTCACTCCTAGGGGCTCTTTATGTATCAAGAAGATTGGTGGGTGTGGTATAATTAAAAAAAAACATGTATTTGGTCTCTGTCTCTGGTTCCTGGCACAGAGCTCCTAAGACCCTTGGAACTTCCTGAATCATAGCAGCAGTAGGACCATCTTTGTTAGTCACAAAAAAGTCCCTTTCAACCAAACCTAACTGCTACCCAGGTGGTTCAACGTAGGGCCCAAGATAGCTTCCCAGTGGGTGCTGGTCACCAAAAAGACCAAATACACAATGAGAGAGTAGAAACTTTCAGCCCTATCACCCCAACTTCTAGGAAGGAGAGAGGGACTAGAGATTGACTGAGTCATAAAAATTCTTAAACAACAAGATTCAGAGAACTTCTGGTATGAACACTTTGAGAGGCTGGGAGGGGACATACCCAAAGAAGACATGGAAGCTTTGCACCACCCCTCTCCCCTATATCTTGCCCTGGATAATCTCTTCCATTTGGCTGTTCCTGAGTTGTAACCTTTATACTAAGCCAGTAAATTTAAGTAAAGTGTTTTCCTGAGTTCTGTGAGTTGTTCTAGTGAATTGTCAGACTTGAGGGTGGTTGTGGAAACCCCTAAATTTGTAGGCTGCGCAGAAGTGTGGGTAGCCTGGGTACCCCTTTTGTGGCTGGCATCTGAGATGGGGGCAGTCTTTGGGACTGGGCCCTGACTATGTGGGATCTGGGCTAACTCTGGGAAATGAGTATCAGAATTGAATGAATCGAATTGTTGGGCATCCAATTGCTGTTGGAAAATCGAAGAACTGGTTGGTGCTGGAAAAGACACAACCTTCAGTGTCAGAAAAAACCCAATGGGGAAACTTCTCAAATTTAGAAATACATGTGTCTCTCTCCACTGACTCCCTCTCTATGAAATCTATGGACATTTCACAAGTCTTTGGGAAAGGTCGGAATGCAGAGAAGCCAAGTTTCTAACCTGAAAGTGAATCCATAGACTCTATTTTGTAACTCGCGCTGTTATAGTTTCATCTATTCCTTAACAAACCCAAACGTGGGACTTCACAGATGTCAGAAAATTTACACACAGTAACTCTCTCGAAAAAATTTCTTACCCACCTTATTACTTGTATTTCAAACAGACTAAAGACACAAATGAAAATATACATAGTGAAAGTAAAGGAAGGGTTAAGGTTGGATATATCACCACCTTGAGTTGAAGGTCCAGAAAGGGAAGCTGTATGGGTGAGCTTTGTAGTTAACTAGCATTGAATTTAAAATCTGTTCAGTCTCTACCAAATCCACCACAATTTCTCACCAGCTAAATGGTGTGGGGCTTGATCGGTCAACCTGTGTGCAATATTTCATACAAAAAATATCAAACCATGAAAATTCCAAGAACTTAATAAGAAGGAATTTCACTTATGTCATTCTACATTCTGTTTTTATTACAGTTGTAGTCATGTAATCAGGTTTGTGTTGGCTCTATGTTCTCATATTCATAGTAGAAACACTTTTTACATTTTATCAGGGAAAATGAGTGTTTATGATGCCAATGCTTCATGTAACTCCAAAAGAATTTTCACGTTCTCTGGCTGCTGTAACTTTACCACCATTCCTGTACCACTGAGCTACTGTTTCATTTTCTATTTCCTTGAATCAGCACCAGCAACCAGAATGGAGTTTTCAGGAAGACATAAGAGCTGCAGAGGAAGACAGTACACGTCCTACTGGATGAGTTGGCAGGGAAGGAAGGAGAGTTCTTACCTGGTCTTTGCTAAAAGTAACCATACATTGGTAAGCAGCATCCGCTGTTGCAAATATGTGAGGGGGATTTGAGGCACGTTTCACCCCATGATAAAGTCTGGAAAACTGAAGGAAAAAAAAATTAATTTAAAGATGACATCTAATGCACTGGTACCTGTTGCCCATGAAACCAAGGCTTTGTTACTTGTTAGGGGACTTATAGCATCAGGAAGGCTATTGAGCCACAGACTCTGGAGTCTGCAGGCATAAGTTCAAATCCCAGTTCTTCACTTACTAGTTTCATGAGCTTTTGCATGGGCGTTAACTTCCCCATGCTAGGTCTCCTCATCTGCCAAACAGCTTTCATCATCATGCCTGCTTCATAAGAGTACAAGGAGTGAGTGAGATAAGCCCGCGTCTGGCATGTAGAAAGCACTAACTGGATGTTTGCTATTACCATTATATCTTGCTCTGAACAGTTCCCCACGAAATGGAAGAACGCCATCCGTGTTGTATTATCCTCTGCAGGTTGGGGTATACACTGCTAAAGCAGCAGCAGTTTATTCTCGTTTTCCCCTTCTTTTCACTTTCCCTTGTGGTTTTTTAATTTCCTATTAAGAAGTAATGTGCTCTTACAGCACCCCTTACCTGTGGAGAGTATATGCTTAGATTCTGGAAGGGGTTTAAGGCAATTAAGATGTCTCCAACATATGTGTAGATCACCAAGTCCATGTAACGCTTTTGCAACTGACGAATAATTGAATCCTAAGAAGAGGACAGATAGTACTGAGAGTAAACACTATTTCTAACTAAGAAAGAATTCTCAAAATAACAAATTTAGCCTCATAAGAATTTTTTTTTCTAAAAGAGGAAAGTAGCAATTTAAATCATACAGTGACCCTAAGGATCTTCAATGAAGATATTTGGCTTGGAAGAAGAAAAAAAAATAGGAATATGCTGAAAGAATAAGGCCTACTTAGGATTTGCTAAAGGACATTGAGATAGCCAACAGGGTTTTATTTGTTATTACGAAGAATTTGTCTTATCGAATCAAAATGCTCTACTTAGAATTTGGTTTAATAAAAGTATAGAAAAAATAGTAACTTCTTTTCTAAAAGCATTACACTTAAAATTTATGTAGTGGGAATATAGAATTGAACACTTCTATGTTACACTTTAGTGATTCATGCATTGTAGTTAAAGGTCTCTGGAGTTAGAATCAGCAAAAGCAGTTCCAGTGCAATTAACAGCTCTATTAAACATGCATACTTTAAATGGAGATTATCACAGTTTTCAAATTTAGAACTCAAGCTGTATTATCCTCCACTATTTCCCTAAATAAAGCTATTCTTTATGAAGAACAAACAATTATCTTTTTTTTAAATTAACATAGAATGTATTATTTGCCCCAGGGGTACAGGTCTGTGAATCATCAGTCTTACACAACTCACAGCACTCACCATAGCACATACCCTCCCCAGTGTCCATCACCCAGTCACCCCATCCCTCCCATCCCCCTGCCTCCAGCAACTCTCAGTTTGTTTCCTGAGATTAAGAGTCTCATGGTTTGCCCCCCTCCCTGGTCCTATCTTGTTTCATTTTTTCCTTCCTTTTCCCCTAAGATCCACTCCCCACACTGGCCCTGCCTCTCAAATTCCTCATATCAGAAAGATCATATGATAACTGTCTTTCTCTGACTGACTTATTTCACTTAGCATAATACCCTCTAGTTCCATCCACATCATTGCAAATGGCAAGATTTTGACAAACAACTATCTTGACTTCAGAGTTAAACTGCACTTTCTCTAAAACAGAAAATAATTCCTGGTGATGTAATAAATCATTTAGGCTTACAATATAAAGGGCTTTATTGGAAAAAATTCAAATCCTTTCCTCTTCATCATTTAGGACATTTGGGGGACTATAAATGAACACAACACAGGATCACAGTCACAGCAACCTAATGCTCTGTGAGCTTTACCTCAAGGCTATACAAACAATTAAATTTTCATGTGACCTTAGGAGAACATGGTCTACAAGAAAAAGGTCAGATCATTCACATGAAACAAATGTCAGCAGTGAGAATTGCCTACTAAATATTTAGTACCTCATCCAGAACCTCTAAATTGACCAAGTCATCCTCAAGGCAGTATTTTTCAGCATCTTCCACATGATAGGGTCTTCTGGTATGCATTCTTTCATGCCTAGAAATTTATCCAGAGAACATTGGCATTAATATAGTAAAAATTGTAGCAGAATGTAGACCACGAGAATGTTTCATTCACAATCTTCCCACATGTGTTCAGAGACTTCAGTGATGGGGACAGAAAGAGCAAGTGCAGTCCAGGTCCCCAAGCCCTAGGACCCTCTCCCTGTAGCTGTAGAGCTATCCAGGGCAAGGTGACCTCCAGACCTCAAGCCTCCTTTCTACCACAGTGAGGAATATTGCCAAATGGGCCCATCTAATACTTCTGTTTGCTTTTCTTAAATGCCAACCACAGTTTTTCCAGAAATAAGTATCTCATGTTCTTTCTGCTCATTGGGAGGAATATAGTCCTCACCCAGGTACTGCCCTTGAGGTCCCCTCGTGCTATCCACCAGCATTGATCCCAACTTTTCGAAAAATATTTAAAACTGAGAGAATAAGCAAGCAAATATCAATAAATAAAAAATGTTTACATTTTACCTTATTTATTTGAAATCTCTGTTACCCACCTTTCATCCCACTCCCCTTTCCTGAATGACGACTATTTGGTGGGTATCCTTCCAGTCTATTTTTTAAATACTGGTCATACACGTGAGCCATATACATATTCTGTATGTTGCTTATAAAAATGATATACTGTTTCATCCTGCAAAATTGTTTTCTCCCACTCAACATTATGATTTTTTAAACTATATACATATACATATTTCGGTCACTTCAATCACTGGGTAATGTTACGTTATATAAATATATACCAATTTATTTACTCAGTCCTATGACCATCAACACTTAGAATGATTCCGATTTTAGCTATTTAAATAAAGCAACACTGAATATCTTTATATGTATCCCCTTGTCTATGTATGTGAGATTTTTCTCTTGGGGGCTTTACTCCAAAGGCATTTAAAAAACCTGGTTGGCAAAAATAAAAAACAAAAAACTTGGTTGACAAACAATGCCAATCCCCTTTGGCATACCAAAATATAGTTCTTTAAGGTATAAAATCAGTTCAAGTCAAAGTAGGCCTTCCTGTAATTCCTTCATAAAGGTATCACTAGTCAGTGTGGTGTAGGGGGAAAGCAGCAGCTTAGAAGTTAAAAGCTCTGGGTCCTCATCTCAGGGTTCTGAGGAATGCGTGGGCCACTGAGCAATCAGCCTGCATCTCAGTTTTCTTCATCTATAAAGAGAACCTCTCACAACTGTCTATCTCACAGGGGGCTGTGAAAGCAATATGGTCGTGGATATAAAAATGCAAAAGAGTTGAAAACATGTACCAAGTATTGTCAAAACTTGGAATCAACAATTTGCACTACTCTACATATTACTTGGAATACCAATAACTGAACAAAATCATGTGTAAGATCCCTTCCAGGCACTGTCAGTTCCAAAGCATCACTGCATGGTCCTTCGCTGTCACCTGCTATGCTCATAGGATACAGGATACAATTTTATTTTGCCAGGTCCCAGAAGCTAGTCTGACTCAACATGTTGCTGTATGTGCCGGGTGGGCATCATAGCATCCCGCTGTACACTCTGTCCCTTGCTACACGCGTTTCACAGGCGGTAAAAAGGAAGAAGTAAATTCAACAGCTCTACATATTGAATCCTGACTTCATAATGTGAAGGAAATGGACAAAGAAAACACTGATTTTTTTTCCTCTTCCTGCCTATTAAATTTTACTTCCTAATTCACATCACTGACAGATTTGAAGAAGGGGTATCTGAAGTGTGGTATTAGTCATTTCCAGTGCTAGAGCCGGTTTTGCTGCTAATCCATATAGAGATCCAAGATAGATAAAGCTTAATTTTACTTAATAAAATCAAATTTATAACCAAGAATTTTAAAAATTATTAAACAGAAGGGTTTGTTCATCTGTGTCCTAACATATTAGTGATGTCAAAGAGAAATCAGATTGAACTGAAATACAAATTTTTACTAAAACTCAGAGCTGCTTACTTCTAGCTAGGCACTTTGCTAAATAAAACAGCAGGAGGGTGCCTATTTCTGGCCAAATCCTCTTCATGTAAAACTTAAGCATTCTTTCCCTTGAAGCTCAACATGAAATGAAATATACATTTAAAAAAATAATTAAATTCTCATATTAAATATGGTTACCTTATCCCCTTTCTAAATCCCTACCCTGCAACTGTATGAAATAGGCTAAGTTGGAGTTTATTCTATACATCTTCAACAATGAAAATGAGGAATTAAAAAATCATCCACAGATCTGGTTCCAGTCAAGATGGAGTAAACTCTCTCCAGTCTGCCTCCCTACTGAATGCAACTAAATGCCTTAGAGAGAATGCATGGGACTTTGAGAAGTAAACAGTAACAGGAAGACTGGGGAAATCCAAATCTGAAATACTACTGAATCAATGGCAAGTTTCCCATGGATTATTTTTTTCCTCCAGTAACTCCTGACCTGAACCTAAAGGCAGCCCAAACGACATACAGGGATGTCAGGATTCATTCTGGATGACATTTTTACAGCCAACCAAAAATGGAAATACTGACAAAACCTCACTTGCAATATCACAAATAAATAAACTCTAGAGAAAGCTGTGACTTTCAAGGTGAACATATACAATGCAATATACCACCAGGATCGAAAATGTCATCTTTTGAACCCTGCAGAAGATTGTCTATCTGCCAACACAGATTTAATCTCCAGGAACCGTGCAGATGCTGTCTGGAAATCTGAGCTTGATTCTCATAAGAACCTTCCCCTTATAATATTTTATAAACAACTTTGGAAAGATTTTACCCTCTGTGATTAGCCATGTATCACCTCTCCCCATGCTTGTTGGTAATCAAATTGCTTAGACTTGTTTGCTTCCAAAATTGAAGCTGGCAATCTAGAAGCTGATGTTGATGCAAGGTATTTCCACTCTATCAGAATCACTTCATTTTCTCAACCAGCAAAAAAAAAAAAAAACCTCTTAGCCCCATCTCTACTTTCCCCAACTAGTGCTCTCACCTACTTCATTTTCCTCTGGCTATGGGGTTTGTAGAGTCTACCGAAGACAAAAAAAAATTACTTATTCCAGCTTTTATCTGTTTTTAAAAAATTATCCTAGACTTTACATACACTCATAAAAAATATTACTAAAAAAATTCACTTGTACTCATGAGTGTATGTAACATTTATTTATTTTTAGTTGAAATTAATAAAAATAACTTGGTTTAATTTTTTTCGTTTTCTTTCATTAAATTATTTGTTGTCACTGGCAATTACCAGCTTACATTTCCTTTAAATTCACATGCTCCATCTAGTGCCTTACTTGAGAATAGCATATATCATCAATCTTTGCTGAAGAATTCCTTAATGTGAAAATTATGAACTTCCAACTACAAGGTATTGAATTGAATGTTTCAAAGCTCAGAGAAATGGATAGATAGATAAGTGGATGGATGAATAGCAAAAGGCATTCTATTAAATCAAGAGGATAAGTTTTAATGACTCAAAAGTCATTTTCAAACCCCAGGAAAGTCTATACTGCTTTTTGCTAGATTCTTACTTGTTTTTTATGAGGCTCTAAGTATGTTGGCTGTCAAGTCTGGCCTCCTCGACAAATGGAGTTTGTGGGGTTAAAGCTTAGAAAGGAAGAAACTCAAAGTCCTGACTTGGGCTGGTTCCTGGAGTGTCAGTTCATGGGGGATGCAGGATAGTGAGTAGGACTGACCTTAGGTTTCAGGGATCAGGAAAAGGGGGAACTGGTGTCAGAATCCCTGGCTTAGGTGAGCTGGGAACAAGGGCAAGTCTGAAACATCAAGTCCAAAGAAATGGGTGGAGAGTAAGAACTAGATCTGAAGAGTGGGTGAGACAAGCAGAGGTTGAAAGTTCCGTAAGACAAAGGTAGGCACAGATCAAGCAGAGAAGATGGGAGAGACTTTGGAACGTCTTAGGCCCAGCCGATGAGTGAGAAACAAGCTGTAGAGGGTACCAAACTGGCTCGGACACTGTGGGGATTGTTCTCCTGGAATAAATTCCTGAAGTACTGCTGCCTTCACTACAGTTTCATCTCTATGCCAGCTTTATAGTTAAAACCATTTGTGCATGCGTGCTCTTTAATATCTCATCAATGGGCTACAGACTTCTTTGTTCAAGTTGCTGGCCCTGTGAAGGATTTTGACAAATATTATATATTTTGTCTGAAAGTAATCCCTTAATCCCTTAGCCTCTTCCTATCTGTCAACTATGCCTGTGGAAACAGTGACTTCCATGTAGGTAGGTCAAAACAGGGCTTCACATAGGTGTAGTGCATTCTTTCCTTTATCTCCAACTACGATGAAGAACAAAGCAAAAGGAGGCACTCCAAAGCATAACTCAAGATGGGAAGGAAATAAAAATGTTTTAGCCTAATAATTACAGGAGCTGTGCTAGTAAGAGAGATTAAACATTGCACTGAGAAATGCCTGATGGTATTTTGGGGACAGTCATGCTGTGACAGGACCATTGTGAAGGATACCTCCCTGTCAGCTCCTCCACAGTCAGGCTCAGAGCCCTCCTTCCATCCAAGAGTGGAACTGGAAGGAGTAGAGAATGACTAAGTCTCCCATCAGATTCCAGACACTAAAGGAAGTAAAATCTGTTGATGGTGGAGAAAAAAGGGGGAAGAGAAGAGAAGGAGTAAGAAAAAAGGTCCAGGCTCAAAGGTGGTGGTCCTCAAGACTCTAAGACAAAGGCTTCTAAGTGGCCATGGACAGAGCTCAGGAACAAACTGACAAGTTGAATAGATCAGAGGTACGTGAGAGATCAGAGGAACTCCCTTATCACCACATTCAATGGAGTCTATATAGTGAAGAAAATATTACTAAAAACTAGAGAAAGAGTACTATTATATTTCTTCCAAATCATTATTAACGTTTCAATATACCCTTTGATAACAAAGTTGATGAAAGAAAAACTTCTATTTGACTCTAACTATATAATCATGGACCTAGAATGAGAAAAACAATAGCAGACCATCTAGGTGTGATACCATTTTACCGAGAGT